ATTATTTCAGTTGATCCGTGCGACCGGTCCACGAAAAGTACCGGTGAGTGTAACCATCAAGGATCAGAATGGAGTGGCCATCTTGAATAAAGAAGAACGCCTCAAACGTTGGACTGATTACTTCAAACAACAGTTGTTGTCACTGGCGTCACTGGCGCCTCGTTGGCTTACGGTGGCTCGTGAAACACTAACTTGAGAACAGCAAGCGATATCTCGGCCTGGTAGGGCTTACGTTGACCAAGTCTTCACACTCACGCCATACGTATAGGAGACCCACATTTCTAGTATTCATGGATTTTCAAAGCGCAACTGACTCGGTTGACCGGTCTGTTCATGGCACATTTTCCCATCAAGAAATGCCCCGAAAATGCGTGAGTATAGTAACCTCTTTACGTTCTGAGACTTCCGGACGTGCGAGAGTATAAAAACAGCTCTTCGAAATCTTCCGTACACAAATCAGTGTCCGTCAGTCATTCCCTCCCTTAGTATGCAACTCGCACCACAAAAGTGTAGGGTCATGCTCCTTGACATGCAGTCACTGAGCACGCCACCTACGACCCAGGAGGAGGTATTGGAAGCTGTGGAGCGTTTTACGTTCATTAAAATCTGTATTAGTTCTGATTTTAATGTGACAGATGAGATTACTGTACGAATCTCCAAGGCTCCGGGCACTCTTCTAATATGAGACACCTATGGCGTCAAAGCAGTATATCCGTGAATCTCAAGGAACGTGTGTATCGGGCTGCTGTGTGGTCCGTTTTAGTTGTTTGGATGTGAGACTTGGCCCGTTTGAGCAGCGAAACTGGGGGATCTCCAGGTGTTCGACAATCGCTGTCTCAAAACCATGGCTCGTGTGGTTTAGTGCCGGCGTATCCGTACCAAGGCAATTAGAAAGCAAGTTTTCGGTTTTCAATGGGTACTTCGACCAAAGAATATGTCCAGCATCAGAGGCTACGTTGGTTTGAACATGTGTTGCCGTTTACCGAAGAAAGTGCAGGTTTCCGTGCCAGATTGAGAATAGCGGAAGCACAGAGGTGGCCAACCCCTGACGTGGTAGAAGACTAGAGAGAAGCCCACGAAATATATGGGTGCTGTCGGTGTTACTCGCCCTCTAAGTTATGGACAGCGTGATCTCGACTGCGCCAGGTTACAGACGCTGCAGGAAATGGCTGCCAATCGATCTCAGAACCGTTCTTGTTGTCTTCCTATCCAGATTGCCTGAATGAGTGTATGAAAGTGTAAGTCCCTTCCCTATCCACCTCCATTCTTTTCTTCACAATGAGGCTTTCAAGTCTATCACAGTCCAACGGCAGTGAAGCATCAGTGTCGAACACTGATGTCATACTGTCGATGCTGATGATGGTGGTAGTGATGCTCGAGAGAGATCTTGTTTTCAAGTTCTATTCAGAGAAGCCGAAGGTTTTATCGGTTGTTTATTGCTGATGGTGCCGTGCTGTCTCCTTCTGACCATACTGATGTCATACTGTCGATGCTGATGATGGTGGTAGTGATGCTTCCCCGAGATCTTGTTTTAAAGTTCTATTCAGAGAAGCCGAAGGTTTTATCGGTTGTTTATTGCTGATGGTGCCGTGCTGTCTCCACTCTTCTGACCATGTCCTTTCACAATCAGGTTAACCGTTCGTTTTTACCCTGACGGATTCCTCTGAGTATTATTTGAGACACAATTGTACTTTACACCACACTGAATAACTCAAACTAAGATTCATGCAACTGCTGTTTGTTTCCATTAGGCTCGACATATTCCAGTATCATTTAACTAATTTTCCATCTTGTACCTGTTGGTTCGGTGTTTCTTGTGAGATCCTTCTTACTAACTGAGCTGGACGATTTCACTCTATACCTAGGAGACGACCATCATCCTAAAGTGAACGGTATATCCATCTATCGGTTTGTTTACTGACGTACCACACCAGTTCTTGGACGATACCCAAAGACCGAATTGGTTAAACCGTAATGAATGGCTTAGTACCTCACTGTTAGCCCTACTATGGCTTAGAGGCTTAGTTTTCCACAATAACAAGACTTCCAAGTCCGAGTGGTGCCGAAAATGATGATAACTTTTGATAGCCACTCAAGGGGTCTATTTTCCTCCTCATTCATTCTGTTGTTAGGCTGGCAAGGGATCCCTCCTTGAGGGACAAGATCTGGAAGGTACTACACATGATGATCCTGTGCTAGGCATATCATCACATGCTAAACGAATTCCCTTTTTTTGGTTATTTTAGTTTTGGAAGAAAATAGTGAGAATGTTGAGTCACTGTCGCTGCTTTCATTCCACGGCAAACGCATAACCCTGTTCATCTCACAGCAACCTGACGGTACATAAAGGAAACCGATTTCCTTGCAATAAGAACCTAGCATTATCCCTGCTTTTTTTAACTGAGGAAGATATGGGCTGGCTTTCCAAAACGGATACACAACCTTACGGAAAAGCAATTTTGCTTCTATGCTCTGGCAAAATGCCTAAAACTTGCTCTTGCAATCACTCAATCACTCCCTAAGCTGTATGGCACATTCCATTTCCGTTGAGATCATCTCTATTTTTAAGGTGGAAAAAGGAATTGCGACAACGAAACTTGATCCAATTTCACAGCGAGACCACCAACATATTAAAAACCGCTTAAGGCATTTTATTTACACTAGACACGTGACACTTCTGAATCTTTGTTTGTCATCACTTTGCTCATTTCTTGCGCATAGCTCCTGCAGGTTTAATGATGAAGCAGCTAATAGAGCAGCTGGCTGATATACTGGATGCTGATGAACCAGAAGCCCTTGTACCGTTTTTGCGCAACCCTAAGGATTCGCGGACATCATCTCTCATCGACGAAGCGACAGAGTATGTGGAAAAAACATTGCTCCGGGTACGTTTTCATACGAATCTTGCATTACGGGAAATTTTTTATATAGGGAAGTTTAGTGGAGTAATCCATTCCCACAAACCTTAATGCCTCAGACACTCCATGAAATTCACACAAGTACTTTTCAACATGTTTCAGCCAGTGGTGTTGACCGATGCGCAAATCAGATCCTGGCTCAGCACCGCCAGATGTTTTAGATAGTCTCTATTTCGTCCACGTTCCCCCCTTGCGTTGAGGGCTGAAAATTCCATCCTCAAGTGTGTTGACGTTCCTTGAGCCGAAGCGATACGATGCCCAAACCGCAGTCCAGTGCCATCAGGTAAATTAGGTGGAAAGTTGCAGGTGCAAATTAACGACGATTAGTTGGGTTGTAAGAGTTGAAACAAGACCAACAGCCTGTCTATTAGGGTGATACTGAAACGGGAAAATACACCTGTGACGGGTATTTTGCATAGATTGTTGTGTGTCACTCAAAAGACAGTTAACTTCAGGCTGTTAAATCCTACAATAATGTTGTTTCTGCCGGTAATATCAGTGTTTTCTGAGATAAAAAAACTACTCCTGTGTGGCGGTGCTTTGAATCGGTAACAAGCATGTTGCGTCACGAGTTTACCTTTTCTTATTGAAAGAATGAGTACCCCTCATATGGAAGGAAGGATTTGAAACACTGCGGCTTCTGAAGTGTATTTGTTAACAGGCATTTGCTAACGACCAAACTTCACTTGTCTATTCAGCACTACCTTGTTTAAATATCTTTTGAAAGCGATCAATTTTGGGGTCACCTAAAGACAGAAGTCTTCTGCCATTGTAGTACTACCGAAAGATTAACTCCCTTTCAAGTAACTTAGATAGTTGAAAGTTCAACAGCTGGCCAACAGATCTTGTGAGACTGAAGCATATGTTCTTTAAGATTAACGGGAATGCTTAGAGTTTACTTGAGAAAAAAATTCTACTTTCTGTAAAACTGTATACTTCATCATCCTAGTTTACGTGTTACTGCACGCCAGGTGCAATCCATGAATTCAGCTCTCCCACCACTTTTAACTTGCCATTAATTATCCACTGGAGAAAATTTCAGTGGCTCGCGCTGGTGGTCAAATAGTGTGCGCTGACCTTCGAGACCGTGGCGAAAGACTACCGAGACAAGCCAATATTTCGGTTATCGTTAGCTGAGCCCGTATATGCTGTGTATATGTTAGAGATGATAAAAATAGCTCAGCACTGCTTGTGCAACTCCTCACTTCACCAGATATATGATAGGCTGTCCTCATTAGTCTCCGTCACTTCTTTACGTGTGGCAAAGGCTGCCGTTAAAAGATCCGTTTTCGATGTTTTCTCATTTTGATGTTAGTGATTCGTATGAACATATAATATTCCAAATATTTTCAAAACGTTAACTCGATCACACATTTAGTTCGCAGTAATAAGATCCGCGTACAAATGCGTGGCACTTTTAACCAGTCCGCCGTATTCCTGGGATCCAGACCGACCAGACCCATATGGATGGACCCCGTTGCAAACAGCAGAGGATCGCGATGATTTGTGGTGTTCCACTGAGTTGGCGTTGCGTACAAGTGAACTGCGGAGCGTGGGGTATTTGCTTCCAAAATGGCCCTGTGGCGGTCGCACTTCAACTTGCCTCCTTTGGCCTCAGGATATGTGGTATCAACCCCTGACCAGAGAAGCTGTAAGTAAAACTTGTTTCAACTTGCTGGGTGTCTGTTGATTACCCCTAATGCATCAGTGTCGTTGGCTCTATAAAAAACTTGTCATAAGTGCCACATTAGTTGTACTGAACTTCAAACGTTCCGTATGAAAATACTCAGGTTTTATGGTATCAGTTTAGCTCAGAGACCACACTAAATTATTTGCTGCTTTTTAGAAAAAATCGCACTCTATTTAGGCAGTTCATACCCAAAATACGATTTATTAGCTTCTTGTCTATGGGTGACATACATGTTTTTTTTTATTTTGCGATTTCTGCGTTAACCATGATAGCCCCGGATCAAAATACACACATATCCACACGGCTCTAGTAGGCGAAGTTATCCTAACCAGGGAAATTAGGTCTTTCGTGGAAGCTCATCATGCTTGTCAGGCATAACAATGCAACCTACATTCAACCATAACCATAGAACACAGATTCTTCTCTATACAAACTCAAAATATCCTTCTACTAATTTCTGAATAGAGTCGTCCAACCCTCCTGAAGCGACCACCTCGACAGACTGACAGAAGTCGTCTCTTTCTCAAGATTGTTCCTCTGGAAAAGAGGGGATTGTTGATAAGCAATTCATGAGACCAGCTTAGTTTTAGAAGCGCTGGGTCCCCTTGAACTACTTTATTAGAGCAATCCAAAGATAGAAGTTTGTAAGTGGTAACAGTTTGAATTATTTCCAGCAGGCTTGGGTATAAAAGCTCCCACATTTTTAGGTAATGAAAATATTAACAATAGTTGAATTGCATCTACTGACTACTGAGAAAAGAGCGCTCTGAATTCACTTTCATAGTAGATTGACATGTTGAATCAACACTTCTTGTGCACACAGCTGGAGTTGCAGTACGACTGTCGTCATTCCACATTGAGCAAGTTATTTGTGGTTTTGATGGCATACAAGCGTGGAGAAAACAAGGACCTGTATCTTATGAGGCTGCTGACTTGCACTTTAATCTCTCCGCCGATAGTGTTGATCCGTCGCCTTGCAAGGTCTGTCGGAAGTGATTTAGGCCATCTCCAGAGATAAATTGAGGAAGATGCTGATCAGTCCCACCGCGATTTTAAGTTAACTTATAAGTGACATGCATTGCAGAATGGTCAATGATAATAAGAAAACTATTGTGAAAAATGAACTTAGTGATTGCCAAAACGAAGTGCAACTAACCTGCTGTGTACATACCGTCAAAAGCTGACTGACCTTTCTGCTCCGCGTTATCTGAGATATAATCTTAATCAAAAAAGAGCATCACAACTTCCTTCTTCTTAGCTTAGGTGGTTGGGCTTGATGTAGGGCTTGGTTCGCTATGCAAATTCCTAAGCTTTCTGAGTAGCAGTCAGCAAACAGAGTTATTTCTAGAAAATCTTTCGGAAAGTAAGCGATTGTACAGATGAGTATGATGTTGTCAAACAGCTCCTTGAATGAAACTCAATTGTATACCATCGAGACCTTTTAACGAATATTGCAGGCTATACCATTCAAAATTAAGTATTAATAAAAGTCCTTTTAGAAAATTCAAAGAAATACTGCATTCAGCAGCAAAAGCAATTACACTGAACCAAGGGGCTCTGCAATACGGATAAAACCTTAGGTAGTTATCCTGATTAGTGACGGTTCAAACTAATCAGGCCACGTTCAGGGATTGAAAATTTTGGCCATGAATGAAACCTGCAGTAAAAGGAACACACAAGCTTACTTCGTCCTCTTAATGGGTTCTACTGCAAAATGATTCAAACAGTTTGCACAGATCGCACCGAAGCAAAGTTCATCAAAAGTATTAGGCGACATTCCAACCCTGTAGATATTCCAAAAATGCAGACTCCTTGCTGGTGGAAGAGCTTCAAATATGGTCGATTACATAACTTTGGTCATAGGTTTGGCGCCTGCGATAAGATATTTGGAAAGTGGAATGACTTTCTTGCTGCTACAACTAACTTTAATATACCAGGGAGGTAGCTGTCGCTTCATCTATTTCTGAAACGGACCTCTTTCCAGTAGCATTGCAAAAACATTATTAGTGATACCTCAAAGTTTTATCTGCTTTAGTCAGTCACGAAGGAAAGACATGCTTTACTAACGAAGGACACAAACGGTTAGATAGTGTGGAAGAGCGATGCTCTGTCTTTTTCCAAGAGGAGAACGAAACTTCCAAGGTATACATGATTTTCTGATCAATACTTTCAGTGTGCACAAGGTCGGCATATAGTGCCAACAATTTCTGTTTGGATTTGTCCGAGAAGACAGTTTGAACCGTATGAGTTACACCAGTTAATGTTCCTGAATTCCATGCGTCTGAATTGACAGTAAAATTGTTTCATTACGCTTCAAAAGGAACGTCAGTCGGCTATGTCAACACAACTCTCAGCATAACTACACATAGTTTGATAGCTAATATATTAGCTAAATGGTTTAGACCGGCCATCTCGCCGATGGCTGAGACTAGCCGTAACTTTACTGCCGGATGGTTGCACTTCAAAGCCCACCTACTGTTATGATAGACCATTCGCCTTTACATGGAACTGGCAGTAAAACCTGTTATTATGGTGTAGCACGGTTTGGTCCGTGCGGTAATCTTGTTTTCCCGCTTACAACGATAAGCTTTTCATTGCGAGTATCTACCGTTCGAGTCGGTTTTTATAAAGTTCTATTCCAACGATAAACTACCGGGGATACTTATGTGTCCGACTTTGTGGAAGATAATCCGTTTGGAGGTAGTGCTTGAAAAGTTTCTAAGATGAAGATAATGGCCAAAGCATGTGATACTGAAGTAAACTGACAGCCCGGTGGTTCGATCTGAGCTACCAGTTATAAACGTCAAAAAGCGCAACCGCACTCAGATCTGGGCTTGCAGGACAAGATAATGAACATACTAGTGATTTGTCTTCCTATCCCAAACCCGCCCAATGCACTACCTATGTGTATGCTGGGGATGTTCCTACCACAATCCCAAATCAACAATGATATCCTTCTTACGCTATAAAGCAAGATCCTAAGCAGTCCGCCTAAGAAACAGAGATAATGAAGTCAGGCTGATCCCCGAACTTCTCGCCTAACTAAACACTGGTAAGTAAGAAATAAATATCAGTGAGGCGCACCTTTTATGGAATCAGTGACTAGCGCTCCAAAGTATGATATCAATTATCCGACGACAATTAATGATAGTTTTCTATGTAAGTTAGCATAACTATTCTTCGACAGGAAAAACAATTTTCCCAGTTAAAGACAGTATTTTCAACATATTGTGAACCTTATTTCTCACAAAAATATCATTTTTCAGCCTTAGTGTATACCGACTTTCTAGTATTTACAGTTTGCCAGTCTAATGACAAGGAATTTTTTTAACGTCTTTATGACTAGTGATCCCAACCAGACTAGTGAGCGTGCTTTGTACCAACAAGCCACATATCACTGTCGACATCTTCATTTCAGTATCGTTGATAGTTTGTTAGTAATGACACTTGTTTCCTTACCGTGTTTTTTAATCGAACTTCAAATATATACTTCGACACCAACATCAGAGTTACTAATTTACTGTACCGCTTGCAGTAGATAAACTGCGCCTTTGGTAAAATTCAGCACTCAGATTTTCACACGTCAGTCAAAATGAGCTGATTAAATACTTGTTTCCTAAATGCTGAAGCACAAACAGTTTTACCCCTCCCATTTCACAACAGCGACAAATGCAAGCGTATTAAAAGTACTGGCACCTGTTTACACAATTACGTGACCTCCGTTTCGCCAGTCAGATTGGTTGAATAGCAGTCGTACCATCTCTGCTTAACAGTTTACATCTACATGTGAGAATGATGGACACAAACATGGTTAACCAATTTTGTGTTCTCAGATGAGTAGGTTTAGCATACTGTGCTGTTCTAGAAAACTGAACAGCTGGCGGACAACGCGGAACCGATCGACACATGCACTGCTCTGGAGCCCAAAATTTCAGTTGCTTTCCTGGTAGCACACCAATAAGCTACTCAACATACTATTGTTCTGTTAAATTTACTGTGTATGACGCTGGTTTTGAGTGCCAAACTGGTATTTTGGCTCAGAATACGGCTGAAAACTGCAAATTAGTTACAAGGCAGAAATAATCTGGGAGTTTAGGAAAATTACAAAATATCTGATATTTTCTCGGCCAAAGTGAATAAAGTGAAATAAGACATCCTAATCACCAGTAAGTACGATTCGTATTTTGTTTAGAATTGTTCAGTGTCAATTATTCGGCATTCGGGGATCATCTCTGTTTGGGGGTCATTCGGACAAGGATCTTTCAGGTCTTTGTCGAAGTATGATCTCACGAGAGTGTGCACCAGCTGTGACGTACAGAGCATTTCAAAAGCATAACACACAAAGTGGAAAACGCGGATATTCGTTTTTTGTGGAACCAGATGCTTTGGGTGATCGCAGGCGGGTTCCAAGGTGACGGTGGCTATGATGGCCACGCTTCGCTCGTGTAATTACTGATAGGTAGTGGTCTTCATCCATACTCGTAACAGATCATGAAACTACCAACATTGAAATAAAACATCAGGGGCAGCTATCTGACTACAGAAACCACAAATATATGTTCCTCAAACAGCTTTTATCTGTGCGCTTCTCTGTTATGTGAAAACGGTATTTATATACCACTTTGCGTCGCCCCACTCTATGCACGTTAAGAAGTTCACCGCTGATTGGATGATTCGCGTTCTTGCTTTAGCTGCAAATAAATAACAGTGTGATGTCATGATTAGTTTCACACTATTCGTCAAATGAGTGGCGATCGGCTTCTTGTACACCGCATCCATAATCACCAAGCTGGCTAATTCTCTGATCCGGTATGAAATTCCAAGCTAATAGGAATAGAACTTGATCCCAAAATATCCCAGGCATATTCCGGCTCGGCCATCTGCTAATTGTTTCCACAAGAATTGACCAATTGTGTATGTCTCAGTCACCTCTTTCACAACTCAAGATAAACAATAGAGAGCACCGGCGATAAGGGTCGCCACATCTCAAAATGAGATTGCTTACCGGTCCGAGATTGTAAGAGCCCCAATTATTTTGGAGATGACATCACTTGAGATTTCTGCAAAAAAAACTTTTCTGAAAAAGCTGCCTTACTGAAATTTGACTACTATGATACCATACAACTATTCAAGCTAAAAGAACCAGCTTGTATGAGGTAGGCTTGTGCTTACCTCGTTCAAGTTTTGCGGTAATATGGTTCGGTCCTGCTTGATAAATTCAGGATTTCAAATTTTTCAAACTGTTACTGACTTCCATGGACAAACAGAACAAAGGAGTATTTGAAAAAGATAGAGCTGTGATTTCTGCTGTATTTCCCTCGAAATGAACCACTGACTTCCATGGACAAACAGAACAAAGGAGTATTTGAAAATGATAGAGCTGTGATTTCCACTGTACTTCCCTACGAACTGAACCTATTCCATTTCATAAAGACAGTAGGCTGGCCTAACTGTGGCCCTAACCTTTATTCGACTACGACCTGATGGAGAAGACTAGTACAGCGAAAGACTAAGCCTGAATTCCTCCGTTACCCAGAACATTCTGAAATAGGAGTTGAGGTTTGGGAGCGCCACAGACGCTACATTCACGAAATTCATCCGAACGAGAAAGGAACACTGAGTTTTTCCACTGTACTGTTCCGCCAATTGTTTTCATTTTTTGGATTTATTTACACCAGCTGATCAGACTGGCTTTTCTGCAATAGTAGTTTTTGCATCTATCACGTTCTAAACGGGACTTAATCAACTTTCATCTCCAGAGGACTAGTTACGGTGAAGAACTTGAGTCTCCTGATGATCTTTGATCAACAAGCGCCCTTACTTTATAACTATGTTCCGCTTTTGGAAGGTCGTTTGTAATTATCTTGCGCCAATTATTTGATTGTAGGAGTGGTTTGGAGTCCAAAACACTTTGGCGTGCTGAGCTCACTAGGCTGCACTGTTAGTCGTGCTTCAAGTCTCAATTATCGTCTGAGACAGTGTTTTCTCCACTTCGACATTTTCGCGGTGCACAGCACCTAAGGTCTTCAGACATATTTGTAACTACTTTGCACCTTATTTGAATCAATGTGAATGCTAACAACTTCACGGAATTTTGACGATGTAGTCTGGTGCAGCGATCAATGGAGCAAGCTAAAATCCTGAGTAGTGCAACTGTTTAGCGCGGTGGATTACTTGCCGTCTGTTGCCGTCTCCACTAAGTGGCTATGACACAATGTTGTAACTAGGCAACCAAAGTCTTGTTGCGACAAATAATCTCCGTTACATCTTAATTGCGTTCTGCTGCATCACGCCACGGGTAATTTGGTTGTGATGTGTGTACTGTGTCAAAGATGTCTTCAGATGCGTTGGTAATAACTCAGAAATCATTGGGCGGGAAAAATCTGCTGAGAAACGTCGGTTTACCCAGAAAAGCGAATAAACAATACCTGGGCTCTATGATACCTTCTTCGTAAATTTACTCTTTTCTCGCAATCCACACCTATTCAAAAGGAAGACAGTTTCGGGCTGAAAATCCTCCACACTAAATGGTATGATGCCAGATGGCTCCCTGAGGTGCTCATTGCTGACTACTCAGCTACGTCACAACAAAATGGAGGATAAAATGTGATCATGACGATCATTTCGTCTACGTCTGAAGTTCAACTTTTCAAAACCTTCCATTCGTACTAGGACTAAAGGGGTGGTCGCTCTGACTCACTCATCTTGACATAATACTAATGTAGAACTGGAGTGGCAAAAATGTAAACGCGGTGTATCATTTGACTTTCTTTTTGGCAACCCCATGCAAATCTACGCAATATAGGAGGGAAAAAGCGCATCTGCTTGGTTGTCATCACTAATTCGCCACAGCTCCCGTGTACAAAATACGTCATTCATATGTAAGGTGTAAAATAGTTATTTTTAGATCCAAACAACTCACCATATCAAACAATGGAATCTTTGTTTGTAATCTAGTTCATCCACCGACGAGGATTTGGTAGCGTACTACACCATGGTGTAAGGCTCTTGGACCAAAGACGTCAACTGGCAATGGGAGGAGAGATGGTGGCGCTAACATTCGAGTTGTTGATGGCCACTCCGTTTCTATTTGCATTCGATTTGTGGACCGGTGAACCGTGCGCACATCACACTGGCACATTCTGGCCCATTCCCCAAACTGCTCTCGCAAAAGCAGCAGACCATTCTGGATGTTCTCGGTATCCCCAGTGTTTACACTTGGTGTTACCTGATCTCTCGAATACACCAGAAGATCCTGAGGAAGCTTGGCAATCGATTTTCAGTGCTTGGCTCTACCATCGCCTTCTGTCTGAACACAGCAGACCAGAAAATGAATGCACCTTCAAATGGACTCCAATCCGGCTTCAAGATATATGCAGAGCGGCTATCCGCCAGCGTTTGGTGTACGCAATGAGTAAGATTTGCTATCAACATTTTTCCAACTGCAGTATTGGTGGCGATTAAACTTGAAAGACATGTCTTTATGATAAACTGGATGTCCAAGGCATCCATAAACCAATACACTAGTCTTTAGTAATTCATAAAATCAAATGTCTGGTTTTTTAGTCAAGCAAGTACGTTCCGAATAGTAAACTGACATGTGTTTACTACGAAAACAATGTTTCATTTATCCAAGGGTTCTGATGAATTCACATGTTCATATATTATAATAACTTGGTGTGGGCAACACTGAGTAAAGATAACTAGAAAAAATTTACCTTTAATTAATCTGAACATTTTCACCGTACACTGAAATAAGGTGCGTAATGTCCATACATCATAATTTATAATGAAATAGTTTACAAAATTCAGTAAGGTTACGCTTCAATACGGCACATTTTTTACGCACAGTTGAATGTAACCCGTGCGAAAACTATGCACAACGGATCAGTCAAATTCCACTGCCGTGTCGTCTCAAAGAACTCCTACTGTATCGAGAAATTTGGCCTCACAAACTGTGGGATGAGAAGTTGGAACCAAGTAGTACATTGGCGATTCCGATTCTGGAACCTCGTCCTCTTGTTTCCATAACAAAAACCAGAGAACCAAATGGCTCAGAAGTTGTCTCCGTACAAAACCTACATTTTATGTCCGATCGATTCTGAATGACTTTTTCAATTATTACACGTTCTAAACCAAACTTTTTTATTTTGCGCTTGACTCTTGTATATTTTATAGGGATTGACATGCAGAGAGATCTCACTTTACCTTCCTAAAAAGTTGTTCTTTTATGACTGTTCTCGGGTATACACAACTCAACACACACAGTGAACAAACTGTCATTCCCTGACGCGTCTTATTTAAATGTCGTGAAAAGATTATCTCGAATAAATTCCCCCTCACTCCACTGTAAAGAGCAGCTCTTAATCAAACGATCAGTCGTCGATTTTAATAATTTAAATGAGTTTATAATTGCAATCCCTTATAAGTTCTTACGTAACCTGTCAATATAAACTGAGTAGATAACTGTGAGACATTGTATCGTGTAATAAATGGTATCTCATAGTTAAAGATTGTTTCTATAGAGATTATTTCTTGGACCATGGAGTCAGAGATCTGTAGCTTGAGCATGTAGCTTGTTTTTGGGAGATTATTGAACAGCCATCAGTTGTCTCTCTCCTGGTCACCATTGCTGACAACGACAATGGAACCACAGCGGACGTCGTGCATTTTCAGTATTTGGGGTTTTCTGGGTACAGTCATTGCATGACTTCGGACCGCAATGTATGTTCTTTCATATAGCACGAGTGGTTATTCCAGCGCATCCTTTCAAAGGGTATAACGGCTCACGTATTTTCAAAACTCGAATTGAGCGGTGCGCTGCTTTGGATGCTTGTTTTCACTAAGTCTAAACGCAATAATACTATGTACACCTCACAACCTTCAGTGGTCCACGCTTGATCACATGTGCAAGCTTATTCCAGAAAAGCCAAAATACATTTGGTACCTGTTGAAACTACATTTACGTCCATATAATAATCGGATGACTTGCTTTTTCAAGTTGACCAATCTTCATTGGCTTTTGAATACACGTGTGCTCTAGCTTTTTCCTCCTGTTGATTCACCCCTCTGTCTGCCGAGTATACTAGACGGTGTTTCGTTACACGATTGGTTACCTGTTTACCTTTTGTGACCAAAAGATTCAGTCAGTATTCGGTATCTGTCCGTACAAAGCCGTTACAAAAATAGTCAAATCTACCGCATGATTTCTTAACCCTAGATCAGGACCTATTTTCCTAAATTTTAGAGGGGTCTGAGGCTTGTATGCATCGCAGCTTGAGCCATCATCAGCCTGAAAATGTTGCTCTGACTCTTGTTACTGAATACTACTCAGTTTAGTCATACTTTACGGTTGCTGACATGGTTACCCAGGCTTAGAATATTTGAAGAAACATGCCGAACTTCCTCATTACTTCAGTGACGGAGGAACGAATTTCGGTCAAATTTCAGTGCCTTCTGCCTCAATTGTTGTTTACATTGGTTTGAAATAGCGCTGTTCATCCAAAGGATCACCTTACATTTGACCAATTTGGTCTATCTCGTCTAATACTGGGATAAATTTGCAGCTGAAGCTGAATGCTTGCTTGAGATTATCGCACTTCAACCTTGCGAAATGCCGTCATTGTGAAGGAAGCGCATCCGAAAATGTGCTCATGCAGCAGACGCTCTCCTGGTTGTTTCCTGATATGTAAAATTTGCGTAACTGCGAAGCACTCAGGAGCATTTCTTTAGTTAAAAACTGAAGCCGAAAAACGTTACAATTACACAGAACAGCCGGAGAAAAATGTTTATCTACATCGTTTCTCCGAACAATCGAACTCATCCTTTGTTCGATGTTGCGACTCACATGCTAGCATACCTTGGCGCATGTTGAAGCGACAGTCAGCACTGAAGTTGAAAGTGAATCATGTGCGTCGTGCTCGGCAGCCATAGTAAGTAGTACTGGCGTAAGGGTGTATACTTCTTATGAGGCGTGCGTGTAGTCTGCGGTCCTGTTGAAGCTCCGCCCCGCACTTAATGAAAGATGGAGCTTATTAAGGAACATGTAAAAGTGCTTTTCAGCGTTTGCTTACAATTGTGTAATGGTCGATGAACACATATGAAATTTCAAGAAGACAAAAATTACGTGTATATGAGACGTTTACTTTCCTGTACAATAGCCTGTAAGTGCTTAGTTGGTGTTTGTTAACAGACGACTTCGCACCGTGGTCATTTGGTGCAGTCGCCAGGATACTGATCAAAATCCCGTGGCCATTATCTCTTGAGGATTGGGATATGCGGACCTTCCCGAAGAACCTTGTGGAAGTTCTGTCTACGCAGTTCGGTCTACACCAGTTGATGGATCATGCTTGGCAGGCAATGGACGCTAAATAGCGTAAGCGGCTCCTACCTGGTCAGCTCGTCGAAAGTGTTTAGCCGGCTCATAGTGTCCATTTGCGGCTGGCCAGATAACCTAGCCAGTTGAGCATGAACGCGTTGGTGCATTTGGCATCGGAATGGGTCGCGGAGCCACCTACAACGTTGCAGCCGCTAGACAAGAGAGAAGACTCACAACTGGAAGACCCGCAGGCCAAATTGGTCAAGCAGCTTGCAGCCAGGAATAAAGAACCGTGGGGACACGCCCAAAAGTTTCCGTTCCACAACTGTGTAACGCCTAGATACTGGAACAGTCAATATCGCTATACCCTACAACCTGTGAATGATAACTCTCTGGGTTATACCCATTTTAGGGGCGAGCTGTGATTAATGCTGTAAAACAAACTATCTTACAGGCCATTATCTTGATGGACAAAAAGAGGAAGCTGTGCCTGACCGATACAGGAGCAGCGGTATTGCTGGGACGAAAAGCCAACGAAGCTGAATGAAAACCGTGCGTGCTAGCTGTAAGAGCAATGGATGGACACTGCCTAAAAATTGACGGATTGTCAATGCATTCAACGCCTCCAAGTGACAGGTCGGTGCAACCTGAGTTCCTGATTAACCCAGACACAGAGCAGACGATTTTTGGATCGGATTTTCTTAGGAGCACCGAAATTTAATGGACCAAAGTGGAGCAAATTGACGACAAAAATGGCTCAACTCAAGCTTGGAGGCTACCCAATCATTGTCGTTAGCAAACCATATGTTCGAAAGGTTCCAAATTGTGGAGTTCCGCCAGTACGGTTTGTGGTCAGAGGGCACTCCGAGCGGTTCCCTGGAGATAAAGAGTCGTATGGCTTCCCGTGGGCTGAACACGAAATTCCGTCCGAACGCTCTTTATCGTATGACCCCGTCCGCTACTGCCCATGTACTAGGAGAGATCCACTAACAGGCTAAAGAAATGTAGGAAAATGCCCCAATCCGGGAAATCAACCGTGCGTGCAGCTCCCCGGTCCTGTTTGCAAAGAAGATGAACTGGATGTACCGATTTTGCGTGGAGTTCCGGTGCTTGAATGAACTGACCGTGAATCAGGCTGTAGGGGTCGCTTCGGTTGCAGAGATATTCGACTCGCCCCATAAATCTCAATATTTCATGGTGCTCTACTTCCGTTCCAGATGCTGGCAACCAGCTACCAAGTCAGAGGACGTCCTTGGTTTCGGACATCCAATATTAATTCAGACAAATGCCGTTCGGTTTGTCTGGAACACTGTTCGCACTCACGCTCACTCACTGTTTGCACACTCACGCTTGATGCCACGTTTAACGCAGGGACTCCAGATGTTGCCGAGTTCGAAGACGATATTATCGTTTATAGCAATTCAAAGCCAAAGCATGGACCCCATGTGAAAACCGTAGTGAAGAGCGTTCGAGGGGCCGGAATGCGGATACATGAATCCGAGACAACTTGCTCAAAATTCCTTGGCACTACTCCAGTATAGAGTGCGCCATGGGGAGATTAACCCATTGCCGAAAAGAATGTCAAAGATACGAGTGTGTGTAGTCCCAAGTTGAATCGTTACCAAAGGATGGGCAGTCTAATTCAGCCGGTCTGTCAAGAATTTCTACACACTAACTGCCTTCGTGTACAAGTTGCTGCATCGGCGTCGGAAGTTCGAATGAACAAGGGGAACACATGAAACCTTTGAAATGTTGAAGTGCGGATCCCTGATCAGAAACTGACCCTCGACCTGCCAAAGGTGGAAGAGATGTTCACTGTTGCAACGAAAGCTAGTGACCCCAGTTTCCGTGCGGTCCTGAAGCAAGAGAATGAGATCAATAGATATGCTAGTTGGGCGGAAGCGATAAACTATTGAGGAAAATGTTGAGCGACCTTCTGTGCTCCATATAAGTGGAGGCTATACTGCCTGGGACAAAGATTTTTATGGTGAGACCGATCACAAATCACTCCAGTGTATCAGGACCACCAGGGATCCTCGTATGGAACCCACTCACGAAGCCTTCTGATTACAGTAATACGACTTACACACACCAGAGAAAGAGTACTGCCTAGCTGATTGACGGTCAAGACAAAAATTTGAAAATGAGGCCTCAAAGATCGTGCTTGACGCCAGAAGCCCCGCCATCGGACTGGATCCCAAGGTTTGGCCGACTATCTTTCCACGGTTGAGCCGCCTTATATGCGGAAACGGTGCGGTACCGAGATTTTGTTTCCGAGCCCACTTGTATCGGCAAACAATTTTTCTCATTTCGCGTGTGTAGTACTTAGAATAACCTACTCCGACGGTTACGTTGGATCTAGCGCCCATTTCAAAGCATTTTGGATACTTTTATTTGGAGCTTTTCGCTTACCGTCGCGGCCCTGAGGTGCGGCGCTGCACTTTCGTTATCGCTTGCGCCCTCCGGTTGAAGGGAAGCCGCTAAAGGACAAGATGAAGCCAAACCCACGAAGATTGGGCGAAAGCATTGATCCTACTTATCAATCCGTGTTTGGTGAACAGTAGTTCAAATTATTCGACTTCTCACCCCGCTGACTTCGTTAGGTAATTTTGAATCATACTCACTAATTTTTTGCAAAGGGGGCGCTTCACGTGGGCCGATCGGTATTCACCGAATGGAATCGATTTCTCAAAAGGCGACGGTTTTTTTCAAGGTCATCACTTCATACTTGAAGATGTCTGTGTCAAATGGGTTGTGAAGCTAACACCATGTATGATCGATTTATCCAAGTTAAGAATACTCATGGCCATCAGGCGCTCCTATTTGGAAAAACGTGCCAATTGATGTAAGGTATCATCATTCGCGGTAAATTGTGAATCGTCCAAAATGGGCGGAAGTCATAGGAAGTCCTGTAGATACGATAATTTACGAAATTTGTTAAAACCAGCACTGTACTTGGGGACCTGAAATGGGAAGATTGAGTCATTGCATAAGGCGCAATGGACACCATAAATGAAGTTGGACTTGTGGAATAGGCTAACCGAAATTGCAGCAAAAAACCAGATTGGTTAAATCGGAATGAAATGTTCATCGGTTTAAAACTAACTCGTCCCAC